TGACTAGAGTATGCTGAGGAATTAAACATACCTTGCTTGGGATTTTTTGTTAATCTGGTTATGATTGGAAACTGTAACTCTGATTGTCAGTTCACTTTAGCAAAAGCAATTAATAATTTGTGTAGTTCTTGAACTCCATGCTAACTGATCCTTTGCAGCAAAATAAACTAATAATTTGTTAGTGGTGAACTCCATGCTAACTGCACATTTGCTATTAGGAGATGTTTATTTACAAGCAACAAAAGCAATTAATAATTTGTGTAGTTACTGAACTCCATGGTAACTACACCTTTTCACAATCTAAATTCTTCACCACGCTGGACTTCTTCTAGAGGATCTAAATACTCACCCAGTTCCACGTGCCTGTTATACGCTAACACCAATAGGACCATGTGAGTTTATGTATGCTAGCAAATTGTTGGGAAAAATATGTGGCTGGTGGTTGGTGCAAAGCTGTGGTCAAAGCCGTGCTCTTTGATTGATTTGGCATGTCAAAGGAGCTGCTGTTGATGGAATGGTGGTGCTTGCAGGTTTACAGAGAAGTAGGAGAGTTGGAGTGCAGGAGGTATGTCCAAGTGAACCGATTTTTCATGGGCTGTGTTGTGTGCTTGACTATTTATTTAATTTCATTTACAACTGATGGTTGAATTTCATGTGGATGAAATCAGACTTCACACCCGCCATATCAGAGTAGCACCTTTTTTTTAAGGGAACAGGAGGGGTTGCTCCCAACTGGAAATTTGTTAAAGCAAATAGACAAATAGTACTTTCTATAGTGACACAGCTCAGCAGAAGTACTTCTGAGAACAATGAGTTATGTATGTCCTACAAGTAGAATGATATGCTTATGTATCATAAGATGCTGGATCAGTGTACCATAAAACCAGGACAATGAAACTGCATTGTGTCTGGAAGTGAGCACGTTTTGAGATTGCAAATTTGCTATCAGCTTACTCTTAATTTCTTGCTTATATATTTATTGTCCCCTTCTTCCATAGTGACAATGAAAACAAAATTGTTTGTCGGATACCTGTTGCACATAAAAAATATATCTCAAATGCATGTTGAAACTCCATATTATTCTGTTGTAAATGATGTTCATGTATTCTTCAGTTGCATCACAAAGTGATTTACTAGAAGAGCATATGGATTTCTGTTACCACCAATTTCCATTACTCAAGCATGTTGAGTTTCATGAAGGAAATGTTGCTTGAGAAGTGCTTGGTAAAAGGCATTGCATTGTTGCTGTTGTTGCTGCTACCATTGGCCAGCTAATGCTCGTGGTGGGCTGTACAGATCCGTGAAGACAGTGGGGGAGCAAAATGAGGAAATAGATAGTTGATATAGGGTAGCTCTTGCTATTTTTGGAACAACTGAGATTAGTTTTTTTGTGGGGGTTTGGTTGGGGAGTTCAATTTTTTGGTGTAGCAGATAATGCTTGGGTTTCCAGGGCCTGCTTGGTTTGCGATCAAAATCTACCATGCCAAAGATTTGGCAAGCCAAAGTTAGGTAAAAAAAGTTGCCATGGATTTGGCAAGCCAAATGTAAGAGGTTGGCAAGTTTTGGTAGCCAACCAAATAATAGCTAAAATCATGGCTCACCGAATCTTTGGTTTGGCAAATTTAAAATTTCTCGATCGGAGGTGTATGGGTGCCTTCATGAAGAAGATGTCAGTTTTCTTTGATAGGCTTCATAACCTTGTATCTATATGCCTTTATAACCTTCTAACTATATATATGCCACTGAGACACTCCTTACCGGTGACAGAACTGATAAGAACAATGTCAGTCTTCTTTTGATAGGCTTCACGACACCTTACCTGATGTTAGGTTTTTTTTAGGGTGCCAAGTATATAATGAACAAGAAAACTTATCATCGGCTCAGGTCATGACATCATCAGAACCTCGATGGTCATAAATGTTTTAAGGGCTTTGCTTTGCATCAATAGAAAGATATGCGAGGAGCTGAGAACAAATGCAACTTCTACGGTATCCATGAAAACCCCATACCTAGCTGTTCTACTTTGGTCATCTCATGTTGGACTTCCTCTGGAACCCACGGTTACCATTTTCACAATATGTGCTTCCAGTTTACAGCACTCAAATTTCTTAAATCAGCTTGTACAGTCATGCGAGAAAGAACTCTCAAGACATTTTAGCCTTTGCTCATATCCTTTTTTGCTCTTTTAATTGTCAAAATAGTGAAACAATATTTAAATCGTATCAATTACAAATGCCCTTCCTCTTCCTCCGTAGCAACGTACAGCCATTTTTTTTTCTAGTAATCACCCTAAACAGTCCTTGCTAAGAGCATCCGCAACCGTAAGAGTCAGTTGATAGCTCTAATCTAACCTCTCTAATAATGATAGCTTTTAGCAATAGCTCATAGTATGATTACTTGATTAGATCCATATGATACTCTCACATGTTTTTCAATATGTGTATGAGCTTAACTCTTAATCAAGAGCTAGCTTTTCTATCTCCTACTAAAATATGAAAAAAATGTTTAAAGCTACCTCATGAGTAACCTATTTCGGGTGCAGATCGCTGTCGTTTTCTTCGGCCCTCCGTCAGTGTTGTTGCCTGTCGCAGCACTCTCAGCAGAGTTGCTGAACGAGCACCGAACATGCAGTTAGAAAGCTTCAAGCTGCCACGCTTGAAACCGGAAGAGACGCTAAAGCGGCAGGGTACTGCAGCATGTGTCACAGTAGTACTTCCTCCAGTTCATTTTATCTGGCGCACACATTAAGATTCAAACTTTAAAAACTTTAACTAATAATTAGGCTAAAAACTTTTATTGTTATAATACAAGCTTTATATGATTAGATTTGTAAGAAATTATACTATTCAATGATTATAAGTTTATAAGCATAAATAATATAATATAAAGCAAATGAATGGTCAAAGTTATCTAGGAGATCGTGTTATTTTAACTTGTGTCAGATAAAATGGACCGGAGGGAGTACTACTTTATTTTTTTTCTCCATTCTCAAATCAGTGAATCATATCTTAAAGCCAAAGGTCTCATCCATTTAGACATTTAGCATTTGCCCCAAACGAAGAGATAAAAACAATTGCTAGTCTTTTTAAGCCGATAATGAGGATCTAGCAGCGATGGCGGTGAAAACACCAATGCTATCAATAACATTTAAGGCTCTGTTTAAATGACAGAAACGTTTCAGATTCTCAGATGAATCACTAGAATAGCTGCCAAATACCCAAATAGGTGACCGAAACGTTTCTACTAGGAATGAGAATCACCCAAATAGGTGTTTTATAGTGATTCTAGTTCATTTCAAGAAGAATCTGGAACAATAGCCAAACGTTTCACCGATTCTTATCAATCGATTCCTATTTCAATAGAGAAACGTTTCTGGAGAGAATCTGGATCTAAAATATTTCTTGGAGAATCTAGATACCTATCAAACGGACCCTAAAGTTAGAGCAGATAGAAATGCATGCACCTTTATAATTATTTTTATATATACTTTACTTCATATTTTTTTATCATCCTATAAATTTTGTCTGACACTCAGATGCCTCGGCAGATTGGCCCCCTTATGTATGGATCCTGGTTCCACCCCTGGTGGCAGCACAAGCATGTCAAGGGCGTGTTCGGCTGGCTTAAAGCCAGCCGGCTGGTTTGTTTTTCCTCTCACAGAATCACTATTCACGTCCTGCCAGAATAGTATTTTTCTCTCACAACAATCAGCCGGAACAGTATTTTTCAGTCCCGCCGAACAGGCCCCAAGGCGGAGCCGGTAACATGAAAATCCAAAAAGAAGGGAGGAAAAGGAAAGGGGTTAGCCACAGGTGGAGCTTGTGTTTGCAGCAATGGCGGCTGCAGCCACGCGACTGGGTCTTGTGGTTCATACCGTTAATGAAGCTCAACATCAGTGGCACGGGCGGCTAGTTGAGTTTATTCGTGAGCTACGGCGACGACGGTGAGGAATTGGACGGTAATGCTCTGGTCGTGGCAATTTTTTGAGAGTGGGCGAAGATGGCAATGGCGGCTAAGGAATGGCTTGGTGACCGTCAATTGTGCACGCCACGGCAACTTTCAGAAGAAGTATAGTAATTGGTTTATAGCAAGCAAATGCTAATATAGAGGAAAGAAGTGAGGAGAGATATCAGAGCTTAGGCTCTGTCCAAGCAATAAGCTGGGCACGGAAGCATAGGTAATGATGGACTCATACACTAAATGAATATGAGGAGAATTAGGAAAGAGAATGTAGGATATGGATAAAAATAACAATATTTTTTATAGACAATTATTTTGAGATTTTTTTTATAAATAAAGTTTGGCTCTTGTAACTTTAGCTAATAGATAAGGGCACTCCCAATACACTAGTTTCTGTACCGTAAATCGTAAGACATCATGCGTTGAAACTATGTTCCTCAACGCAGTATTTCTAGTAGGGTCAAAAAAAAATCAAGACCAATCATTCACCTCTAGACTCTCCCATCCCTTCAGATCCTATGCGGACGGTGTGCGTGTGTTCCACGGCGAGCAAGGAAAATGGCAAGCTGGTGCGCATGGTCCGCGGTGAGGCGAGGCGGCCAGCCCGAGCTCCGCGGCAAGCCTCGCGAGCTCCGCGGGTGAGGCTATGCGAGCTCTGCAATGAGCCTCGCTACCTCCGCGGCGGCTTGCGCAAGCTCCGCGAGCCCCAAGCCAGCACCGGCGGCTGCATCCTCACAAGCAAGCAAGCAACGCAAGCTTTGAGCAAGCAAGAAACGGCGAATGAGATTAATCAATCGAGCAATGCTAAAGCAAGCAAGCAACGCAGGCGGCGGCCATAGGAGACGACGCCGCGAGGTCCACCAGCGCTGAAGCCGAAGCCAGCGACCTCCCCGTCAGTGGTGTCCATGGGCGACAGCGAGGATGAGCTTCGCGTGCGTCGGACTTCTCCGGGCTCGGCAAGCTAGTGCGGGGCCGCGCCCCGGCAAGCCGACGACGCCGGGATGGGTGTCGAGCCATGGTAGGGAAGGCGGTGTCGGGCCATGGCCAGAGCTCCCGTGCTCGCGGTGGGTGGGGTGGGGGGTGTCCGCTCGGCGACGTCCGCGCGGATTGACGGTTTCGTGCTCGGCGACGTCTTGCTCGGTGGCATCTGCTCAGCAGGGTCGCCGTGCGCGGGAAGGGATGCTGGCGGCGACGAGGAGTAAGGGCCGCACGGTGCAGACGGCGGGGAGGTCGCGTCCGTGCAACGTCGTGGCGGTGCTTCTGCTTCACCGGTGATGCGAGCTTCCACTGGTGGTGCGCACAGGATCCCTAGTCGCCCGATGGAAACGAAGCCCTCCTTCCTAACGCTGTATGCGATGGTTTCGACTGCCTTGTCGCCCGTGTGGACGTCGTTTCTAAGTTTTTTTCCCTCCTCTCCTTGTTAAATTGGCTGTCACATCAGCAAAATACCTATATTACAAGCTAATTAACAGAGATAAAAGATCATGCTGGTTTCTACATTAGAAGTGGAGTCTGTCTACTACACAATCATGTGTTTTATGCAGTTTCAACACATAAATTTTTTTACACCATAGGATTAAGATCCAACAGCTTTCACTCTTATTCTACCTCCAGCCTCCAGCATTCTTGTACCTTTAGACAATCACAAATCACAAGATCACAGGTCCACAGATCACAGATCATAAGAAATATTTTTTTTCTATGGAAAGACAAATCACTGATCACAGAGGAGGAGGAGAGGCCTACCTGGAGCCGCATACGCTGCCGCCACCGCCGTCGCCACCACCGTCACTGCCATGGCCTGCGCGGGCCCTAGACGTCATATATGGCCATGCGCAGCGTGCGCCCGCGACCGAGACGTTCCATCCGGCGAGCACGGGCGAGTCCCCCACGCGTGCTTGATCTGGAGCAGCAGCTACGCCTCGTCCGCCGCCGGTTGGGAGGACTGCGGGGCCGCGCGGGGCAGCAGCAGGGAAGCAGCGCGAGCAGCAGGCCGGGGAGGCACGGGCGTGGTGCCTCCATGCACGCCGGTTATGACATGTGAACCCTAGACGTTATAGATATAAAAAAATTAATATTTTTTTACTGTAGCCGGAGCCAGAGGGAAAAAAACGAGCTGCTCCCCCTCAGAACAGCTCCGTAAGAGAGGAAACCAAGAGAGAAAACCGGCTCTGATGAACCGTATTCCTACATGCCGTGAACAGTGCGCAGCAGGGAGCCGGAGCTGCACAAAGGGGCCTGCTTACCATTTCTCGAAGCGTTGAACCTTCCGTCCGGCTCTCTCTTCTCTCCAGTAAAAGCAACCAGGCTCTCTCTTCTCCCCAAGGCAACCAGGCCCCAGCCATCCGGTGCACGCCGCCGCTGCCGTCATGGGAAAGCGCAGCTACGAATCCGATTACGAGAGCGTCCGCAACACCCACATCTCGGAGAACAAGGTAGGCGCACACGTTTCCCCATGCTTGGATCTTCATTCATCCAACGAACACGAAGGATTTGATCGCGCGCGGCACCGCTGATCCTCGGCAAATCTTATGTGGCACGCAGGCTCGGATGGAGATGCTTGGGCTAAGCCGTACGAAGGAGGAGCTCAACCTGATGACCCCGCCCCCCGCCCGCCGCCCCTACACCTACAAGCAGTACGCCACGGGCCCACCCCGGCGCTCCCCACGGCTGAACGGGCTGGCCGTGCAGCACAAGGCGCTGCCTCTCAGAGGTCTGCCATGGCGGGCGTGCATTCTCTGTGTCTCGATTGGAGGCTGTTCCGGACTGTGTCTGAGATTGAAACGCATTTGATATTGTTGCCTCCTCGTAGGTCATCTGGGCAAGGCGACTCCTATGTTGGTGGACTACGACAGCGATGCGCCGGCAGTGGTCGGTGGGGAGATGGCGCCGGCGCCGCAGGACAATGGCGGCGAGGAGATGGGGGCCGTGTATGAACCTGTTCATGGGGAAACTGCCACCTCTGTAGGTACAGTCGTACAGATACCATTCCTCCTACCATCTGTACTGCTGATTTATATTCAGCAAGTTCTATTACTACTGGTATACAAGTAGCAACGACAGTCGTTTCCTTGAGCGAAGAACGTATGGAGTCAGATATTCAGATTCGCAATATAGCTTGCTGAGAAAGCTTGGTTGTGTGACAAATGCAGGTGAAATCGTGCTGCGCGGATGACTGCAAATCGGTGCGTGGAACGAGGCCTGAACCGGCCGTGCATAGGTAAATGTCAAGCAGCAGCAAGTATCTCTAATATCTATCACGTTTTCCACATCTCCTCTGATAATAGTCATCACTTGGATTCATCTATTGCAGGCATGATGCTCATCTTATCTACCACCAAGCTTCTGCCTTGATCTCCAGCTAAATACATAATCACCCCGTGTCTAGTAGTATTAGAGTCGATTCCATGAGCTTTCGTTTCAGATTAAGGTGTCAGGATAGCAGGCAACGCAGAGGTTGGGTTCAGGTACGACTTCAGTCTCCAGGTGTGTTTGGAGCATGGTATGGTATCTGAAATTTTGTGGCTGAGTCTCTGTTGAATTCCTGTAATTCATCATGCACTTGAACTCTCCGTTCGTTCCCTTTCCCCGTCGGGCCTATGTGATGAAAGCTTGCTTGTTGTCCCAAGTTTTACTAATGAAGCTCATCAGCAGCTTCCCGTAGTGTCACAGACGAGTAGCGCCGGCCTTTGCAAAATGCAAAGTACAGGTGCGTTGTGCGCGTTCGGTTCGCCACTCTCCTCTACTGTACACTTGTGAGGCCATTCTGTGGGGCTGTGAGCTCTTCTCAACAGCTCGCCGTTACAGTCGCAAAGCCTGATTGTAGTCGCTCCCACTTTGGCCCGTTCGCTGGTCTGAAACTGGCTGAAAAATACTGTTCCGGCTGAATTGTTGTGAGAGAAAAACACTGTTTCGGCTAAAAAAACAAGCCGAATATGGGGTAAGCCGAACATGACCTTTACCTCGGTTGATGTTGCACATGGAAATTTCACACCACCTTCACCATGGTAGAGAAACTAAAACCAAACTTGCTAAAACTACAAAGAGTAAAATACATGGATGGTCCTTCAAAATATCGTAGTCGAGGTTCATAAACTTAAAAAACTGCACATTAGGGTCCATGGTCCTGCTAAAATGTATTGTATCACAGCTGTGTCCGAATTACCTAAATACCCCTACTGACTTTGGCTTGTTAGTTGTTACCATGAAATCTACACACTAAACATGCACTTAAGATTTCTGGATAATGTATCTAACAAGTTTAGGGACCCTAATCTGTATTTACAAAGTTCACGGGGACCGGAACTGAGTGACGCTTCATTATAAGGATTGTTCGTACATTTCACTTTAAATTAAAGGGTAAAACTAGAATGCCAAAAAGAAACCCTGGACAGACAAACATACAATTATTTTTGGCTATGGCCTATGGGTATTGATACCCATGGTCTACTCGTTTGGTAATTGGTTAGGGTGTAAATGCCATGGTGTTCTCTATTTGCATTTCGGAAGATCGGAATCCTGTCGACCTGGCCAGCTAGCCTCATGTGTATATGCATATGAGTACGAGGATTTGACCAAACTCATGGTGTGACACGTGGCATAATTCATGGATGAATGATCAAGAAAGGAAACAAAATAACAGGTGCTGCAATATTATTCGGGCTCAGCTTGTGTCCGGACGTTCGGAGGTGTCCGCCCGCGCCTGCAATCATTTTTTTCACGTTGTTTTATGCGCTCACGTGGGGCTTGCGCCACTCCGAACGTCACCAACATCGAGAAGAGAGGGAGGATGCGGCAGATGCCCAGTCGGCGTCAGGTGGAGGAGACACCGAGACGAGGCAGCAGAAGGCAAGAAGAGAGATGCAACAGCTAATCTACTTTTAAAATATTCAGATACAACACTTGCAGCATACGTTTGAAGGCACATAAAATACTTGAAACATGCATCTGAAACACTCGCGAAAACATCTAAAAACATTTGAAACCATAGAAAAAACATACACAACATCCAGATAAAACACTTGCAAACATATGCAACATACAGATAAACACACTTGCAACATACGTCTAAAAAACAGATGAAATATTAGAAACAAAAGCTTGCAACATACGTGTACAACCATTGCAACATATGCAACATCTCGATCTACTTTTGCAACATCCATATGAAATACTTGCAATATATCTCTGAAACATTTGATACACTTGAAACAGTCGCTTACAACATGCGCTTTCAAAAACAACATCTACTTGCTGCCTGGACGAAAATAGAGGCTACAAAGTGGCGCGGAGGTCGCTAGTGTGGAGGTTGTCGGCAGCACGGGTCAGCAGGGGGCGTGGCAGGCGGATGGAGTCGGCCGCAACAGGAGGCGTGAGTACGAGTTGGGGAGGTCGAGATCCGTCCTACGAGCAGAGGCGCGCAACGGGGAGGGCGGGATCTGTCCCGCGAGCAAGGGCACGCAGCAGAGCGAGCAGACAATGCATACGGGGCATTGCGGGTGGGGTCCGTTCCACGAGTGGGTGACTCGGGCAGGGTCCGGACAGACGGACAACCGAACATGAGCATTACCCTTTATTATATGAACTAGGTAGCATGCCCGTGCGTTGCTACGGGACAACTAAATCTTTTGTAATAAAAACACATGGATCGCACGATAAGATAATAATACTGTTAAATTAAATACCGACGTCAAAGTGACATTTAATTTAAAAAGCAAAGTTCGTGAAATTAACACAGTCACGGAGAGCGTGGCGTCACAAGCTCATAAACTCTACTGTATAGACTTTTTCGTAATACGGCTAAGATAATATTTTATATCGGCAGAAAGAATTCTATGATATTTATTTCTTTCACGCGCCAATAAATCCATGAATAAGTTCTACTGTATCTCCATATAATCATGTACACACAGGTTCGAGTATATATGTAAATAGGTTCGTGCCCGTGCGTTGCTACGGGACAGCTAAACTTTTGTACTAAAAACACACGGATCGCACGATAAGATAACAATACTGTAAAAGTATATGACCGATGTTAAAGTGACATTTAATTCAAAAAGCTAAGTTCGTGAAATTTACACAATCACATAGAGCATGGCGTCGCTGGCTCACAAACTCTACTGTGTAGATCTTTCCGTGTTGCGGCTAAGATCATTTTTTATATCGGCAAGAAGAGATTTCCGATATCTATTTATTTCGTGCGTCAACAAATCCACGAATAAGTTCCACCACATCTCCATACCATCCTGTACACGGCGTTGGCAAGCAAATTGTCCACAACTTATGTAATTAGTTTTATAATTAGCTCATGTTTAGTCCTCCTAATTGATATCTAGAAATTCAATGTGACGGACTAAAGTTCAGTCCTGGGATCCAAACACTCCCTAACTCTCGACTCCAGCTGGCTGCTCACTTGCACCACCATGCCTATGTGTCTGCACGTATATACTCTAATGCCAGAACGTCTAAAATGGTCTTTATTGTCCACCCTTTAAAAACATCATAACTTTAAGGTTACGATTTGTGTATGCTGTAGGATTGGGATACTTTGCACTGATCCATGAGGGTGTCCATGAGAATCGAAATTTTTGATGCCATTATGATGTCTAAGCTTATCAATCAGACGGAGACAAACTTGATTGTTAAAATATTTTCAACACTGCTTTCATATACTCCCTCTGTCCCAAAATAGAATTCTTTCTCGCTTCCCGAGAAGTCAATTTTTTTAAGTTCGACCAATTATATATAAAAGAATATTAATATTTATAATACATAATTAGTATCATTACATAGACCATTGAATATATTTTCATAATAAACTTATTTGGAGATATAAATGTTGCACGTATTTTTTACAAACCTAGTCAAAGTTGAGAAAGTTTGACCGGCACACATCTCATAACGACTTATATTTTGGGGCAGCGGAAGTATATGCTAATGGAAGTAGTCAACTGGAAGTCGTGATGCACAACAATACTTTCATATTATATGATAATTGGAGCACGAAGAAACGTAGGGGAATGGACCTATATACGAATGGTTGGAATATTCATTTAGAAAATTGCAGAAGGTTCACCAGTCTTACCATGTATAACCTGCACATCTTTTATTTGGCACCACTTATGTTCTCAAAAGAGCAGACACTTTTTAATTTCAGGTCTGTATGCTGGAAACACTAAAATTAAGGGTCAACCTCATTGAGTCGTCTTGCTTGATATTTGTCAATTGTTTCCTTCCATGCATGATTATTGTTTCCTTCCATGCATGTGACCTCAGGTGATCGATTTGTTTCCTTCAAAGCAGGCGGGGATTGCAGGGATGACAGTTTCTTTTTCTATCGCGCGGGATATCGTATGGCCGGAAGGGGGGAGTTTTGCTTGATCTTTGCCAATTGTTTCATTCTATGCATGATTATTGTTTCCTTCCATGCATGTGGCATCAGGTGATCGATTTGTTTCCTTCAAAATAGACGGGGATCGTAGGGATAACAGTTTTTTTTTCTATCGTGCGGGGTATCGCATGACTGAAAGGAAGAAACGACAAAAAAAAGTCACATAAAAAAATAGTCTTACTTTTAGTCTTTTTAGTGATCGTAGAGTAGGAGATTAGCCGTCCTTCTTGGAAGATAAAAGAAGAATAAAAAACTAGCTGGCTTGCTCCCTCCGTTCAGGGGGGGGAAAAAAAGTCACGGCGCAAAATGGTAAAAAATATAATACTCTTCGGCGCCCGGCGCACATAAAAAATAGAGCCGTTTGTTACCTTTGTTCCATTCAAAACTTCACAGAGCCAAGTCCGACTCAGCACTGTACCACCAGAGTACAGATCTGCCAAGCACCACAACCAAATCTTTGCAAGCCGTCCAAAGCCGCCGGCCTGACGCCGACGCCATGGGGAAGCTCGGAGCCAAGTCCGACTACGAGAGTCTCCGCAACGCCCGCATCTCCGAGAACATGGTAAGGCGCAGGCACCCTACCCGAATTCGATCTCCACCGGATGAGGAATTTCTTGCGTCATCTCCGATTCTTGTTTCGTGGCGTGTGTGCAGGCCAGGATGGAGATGCTCGGCCTTCTCCGCTGCGCGGGAGAGCTCAGCGACATCGCCTCCGCCTCCAGCCACCGCGCGGCCGGGAGCGCGACGCCTCGGAGGACCCCCAGGCCACAGGTGACGAGCATGACCCCGCTCCGCCGCTCCGGCCGCCTCCTCGCCGCGACGCGCCGCTGTTCCGCCCGGCTGAATGGGCAGGGCACAGGTTGAAGCATCGAATGCCCTCTTCCGTGGATCGAGTCGTGTTGTTTGTGACGGGAAACAGCTCAAGTAAGTTCCTTTTATTTTCTGGCAGGAGCTCTGAGTAAATTGACGGCGGCGGGATCGGAGGAGGAGGATGATACATGGGAAGATGATAAGGAGGGGAAGTGGGCGACGGCGGTGGCCAAGGAGAGAGTACAGGCGCTGCAGGAGAGGCGGTGCGACAGCAGGGGAGGGAGGCGTGTACGACCCTGTTCTTGGGATCTGCTGCCATTTCTGCAGGTACTCATCATTACAAACATGAATCACCGATTGGTGCTCCCGGTTGCGTTCCTGAGAAAGATCGCACGGGATTAGTGTGCAAGTAGCTGACAAAAATCGTTCTCTATGATCAAAGGCAGAAGAAATTGTGCGGTGAGGAGGACTGCAAGCGCTGCGGGGAAGGAGACCTGAAGCAACCATGTTTAGGTAAAAAGAATCCGTAAAGGATTATCCTCTTTTCCCCTAATTTCCGCATCTAGTATGATCATGTCAACACTCAATACTTTGGCAAATATTTGACAGGAAAGACAGAGTGCTCATCTTGCCATTCTTCTAATGGGATACTCTGCCGTGCTTGCCTGAAAATTAGGTACGGCGAAGGTAAGCGGACTTGCTTAGTTGCTCAACGCTGAAATGGCTTTGTTCTTGGTGGATTTTATCGGCCTACTTACTAAACTTTGAGATGTGGTAGCAGAGATGGAAGAGGTGAAGAAGAACAAGAACTGGTTGTGCCCTCACTGCGTTGAGGAGAAGGGTATCAAGAAATTCTGGATATGCAACAGGTGAGCGTTTCACCAACCTTGCTCTATTTAGTTCTACAATCAGAGGTCTGAAATGGTGCTGTCAGGATACGTAGTGTTTTAAAAAATTCAGTTTCCCACCACTCACTCGGTAACCTTTGGTCATACGACGATGCAGCTCCTTCTGCTTGAAGAAGAGGAAGATACCACCGACTGGGATTGCCATATATAATGGTAATTCTGATTCTACTCCTGTTCACATATGTGAAATATGCTGTTCTTGCTGTCACTGATAAACATATCTGCCTCTTTTTTCACTTTCTTTGCCATTGCAACAGCAAGGGAGCAAGGATACGATTCAGTTGCGCACCTTCTCATGGACAGGCTGAAGCGACAAGCTTTCTGATGACGACTGGCTCTGGCACGTGCACTTCTACAGCGATGATGATGATGATGAATTGATGATATAGAGATGTAGTGAGTCTCGTCTGACGAAGTCTGGTTTTGGCATGTTCACTTCTGCAGTGATTTAGTGATGGTGGTAGAGATTGTAGTGAGTCCGTTTTCTGGCAGTTCAGCTATTAATGTTTCTGTTGAAATGAGTCCCACTTTTGTGCCCAAGAATGTGAAGCTAGGAGAACAGTCTCAGTGGCCTTCTGAGTGGCAGCTTGTCTGTTTATTGTAACCGGATTTTGTTGAGGGTCAGAGCAAGGATTAATGAGAATTACCATTTTTACTGTATCTGTGATAGAACTAGCTATCTGGTATCAGTATAAAATTCAACTGGTCTTGAATCTATGGACAAATGGAATCAGCTATCTGTCTTCAAACTTATATATACTACCAGTATATTTGTTATTGAGGCAGTGTAGTGTGGAGTCACCAAAATGACTCCAGATAGCTAGCCTATGGTTAGCTAGAACGTTTTGTATTATTATTTCAGCAAATGACCACAGATGGATTTTTCTGAGCGTAAGGAATCACACAAAATTACCCATATTCTCAACTATATTTACATTAATTTCCTTTATCTAAAAAAATTAGCCAAATAAAGCTGCTTGTGTAGGACTTGCATATTGAAATATCAGTAAATACAGGGCCAAAACTCATTCCTCCTTGCTGTGCAAAGCTCTAGCTACTTGCTGTGCAAAGCTCTAGCTACTTGCTTAGTCTAGTTTTAGTTGGGCCAAACAAGCTCTAGTTCCTTTAGTTTACCAAGTTGGACCGGGCCTGACTATAGGCTACAGCCTACAGCGCTTAGTTGGGCAACTTGAATTAAAAAAAAAAGTTGGGCAACTTGAATCCGGCCGGAGGCCGACGCGGTTTGGACATCCCCACCTGCCGGATGCACCGCCGCCTTGCCCTTGCCACCGCGGCCGCAGCGCCCGCGCTCCGGCGGTTCTCGCACCACAGCGCGCCTCCCCGGCCTGACCTAAGGCTCGCCTTCCTCCGCTCCGAGGTCGACGATCTCGAGCTCTCCCCCTCTCATAAACCATCGCCACGGCCTCCCCATAGAGAGCAATGCCAGGTTTTAGAAGAGCTAAGAAGCGGCCTTGCTCTTGCTGGAAACGCTCCGGCAGCTGTGGATATAGCGCACCCGTGGCCGGAGTGGGTTGCTCTGATGGAGCACCTCCTCCGTCGGGGCCACGTTGACCCCTCCACCTTCGCCGCCGCCTCTCTGTCTTCTAAGGACGCCAACGCTGTCCGCACCGCCTGCCTCCAATTCGGGCGCCAGCGGCCGGAGCTCATCAGGTGAGGTGGCCGTGCTCGGACTAGTGGTTCTGGGGTTGGGTTCTTGGCCTGGGTTGGTGTGCGCGTTGAGGCCATTATCTCTGCTGGGGCTATGATTTTAGCTGCAAGCTAGGTGTTTGTTGAAATGTGCTAGCCATTCGCGGTGCCTTTTTTCTTCCAGGCACCCCAGCTGTGCATGTAAAAGTGGTTGCATGTTTACCATGAAGGGAACAAACTTTGGCGGTTGTTGCAACATCTTGGCTAATTATACGTGCCCTGACACTGTGCCAAATTGATGTGTCACACTTCAATAGCAACTCGTGGAGCAAAGCTTGCCTAATAGTACCATTTCTGGGGATGGTAACAAGTGCAAAGTACATTATGGGTTTCCTCAAGTTATATCACTGTACCCTACAGAAACTCTTAGATGTGTGCGATTACAAGGCATTGTTTCAGCATGTAGAGTAGTACTGCTATCTTTTGTTTCATGAGTCCCAACTTTTAACTAAAGGACTTAATGGATGCTGGAAGCTAAAGTTGAAAGTCTATTGTTGCAGGCATATATCAAGATGGGATATTCAGGTTGCCATGCGATGTGGTTGTCCCAGCATCGACAGGAAGGTTGTAAACTCTGGGAAACGACTGCGGGCCTATGTAGGACTTGATGAAGGAGAGGTAACTACATGGAAATATGCATTGAAGATTTCTCTGGATGCACTGAATTTTTATATTCTTTTAATTACCACAAACTTTAAATATTCTGAATGTAAACTCAAGGTTTTGTTTAGGATCTACGCATCAACACTGAATTATAGACACAAAAAAGAATAGTAGACCAGGCTTATGCCCAAGCAAAAGCTTTGTTAGGCTTGTGTATGGTAATACAATTGTGTGTGACCTTAATATGTTTGCTTTTAAATCTCATGTTTGAACTCTTTGAATACAAACATGTGGTGTGAAGGAATAGAACTGTTCACCTATTTGACCTCATCAACAACCTTTCTTTCACTAAATCCACTTCACACTAGTGAACTGGCTAGTAGAAAATATGTGCAATATGGATTTTCCTTTTTCCTTTCTCAGGAACTAGAAAATATTTGCTTACTGTGCAGTATAATTTCCCAAACCTGTTGGATCCTCGATCCTTATATCGTAAATACATTAATTTCGTTTACGCTTGAAAGTTTGGTTGCTCTAAATCTAGGACATTAATTTATGTAGTATCAACTTATGCTAACAGGTTTGCAGCCAATGCAATTTAAGAGGAAGTTGTGATAGGGCATATGTAAAGGCTCAGAAAGAGGAAGTTGGAAGAACTGTGGATGTTATGCGCATCCTTTTGACTTATGGTCTTGATGTTATTACCGGCAATGTAGAGAATAGAGCATGCCTGAACAAAAATGTCAGGGAATCAATAAAAATCCTACTAAATGAGGTTATCGAGGTTGATTCTAGGGGACCTGGTTCCAGCACTGTGAAAGCTGCACAGCTTAAAGGTCAATCTGCTGTACCCATGAAGCAGGGTGATTGGAATTGTCCCAAGTATGTTAGAAAAGTTAATATGCGTGTTCACACATATCCTCCTGGTCATAATGCTTTGCATTTATTGTCAGATGACTTTCTGAATTTTGCAAAGAATATCAAATGTTTGCGCTGCGATGGAGAATTCCAAGAGAGGTATCGGTTGCTGCATGAAGACCAAGAGCATCTACCTCTCAAAAAGGGTGACTGGATATGCAAAAGGTGAGCCTGCTTATAGCTCTAGTTTATGAGAAATATTTACTGCAAGTTCTGTTTTTTTTTCTTTCTCTTATACTGACCTTAAAGTTTCAGGTGCAACTTTTTGAATTTTTCTAAGAACACAAGATGCTTGCAATGCCATGAGAAACCAACAAACCGTTTACTCAACCCAGGAGAATGGGAATGTGTGTCGTGAGTGCCTATTTCTACTACACTATTATATATCTGCTTATTTGTTGAATATTTGAACTGTTCTGATGTCTACTGCCAATACAATCTTATAGTTGAAGATGGTGTTAGCCTTGTGTGACTATCCTTTCACTGTTATGATTTTTATTTCTAGAATTCTAGTACATTTCAGAAAATGGAAGATAACTATGTTTATGTGTTATGTTCAACTACAGGTGTAACTATGTGAACTTCAAGAGGAATGGATTCTGCTTGAAATGTGGTTGGAAAAGACCAAAGTCTCTAAACAATCAAGATAGTATTGAATCACGTCATGATTTAGAGCATAGTAAGAAACCTAGTATTTCATTTGTTCAAGATGGCGTCCAGCTGAAGAGGTGGCCAAGTCCGCAAAAGAATGCTTCACCATCTGACGAAGATTCAGATTTCTGGAGCGCAGACGATGAAGGAGGTGATAGCAGGGATAATGATGCACTCCTGCAACAGAAGGACTACAGATTCCTTGAGAGTTTTCCCATTGTTGGGGGCAGGACTGCTAATTCCCAAGATCGTCTTGCAAGGGAGAAGTGGAAGGACGAAATGTCCAGGAGAAATAAAGGCCTTCAAACTACGGAATCACGAGAAAGCAATCGGCCTTCTAGCCCCGGCCGTCTTCCAAGAAGCATGGAGCTGGTTGAGTCTGATGATGATATCGCTTCTTGGTTTTCGGGTAGGAACTTGGACAAGGCATAACCAGATCTTGTAAGCGGGTGCAACTCGTGAATTCCGTCAATAAAATTTGCATCTCTTGGAATTATTGAAATCCAGCAAAGAAAAAAAAAATATTAAAGCTCACTGGAGAACTGTACCATTTAATGTTTCGGAATTCTGTTATGGGCTGCTCAGCAGCTCAGGGATGACATGCTATGATTTTTGCAAGGGGCTTGTATACCTGCTCTCATGCAATTAAGTTTTGGGGACCAAGCTAGTAACAAGTGTCATGTGCCTACATGCGAGCGTTTGGTTCGGCTCCGCGCTTGTCTAACTAGATCCAAAATTGCTTAAACTAGAAGCGAAATGTAGCAATATAACAGAGGAGGCCAATGCATCCTTTGCATCATGAGTACTGACGAGATCAGACCAACGACTTATTCCTCACGATAATGTCCTTCTTAGGGCTTCTCCCAACGCTCCGGCTTGGGCATGGCGTTAGGTAGGGTTGCAATAATATGAGTGTGCTTTGGTTCCTTTGACTTCCCCCTGTCTAAGCTCAATGGAGCGAACTTGGGCCTGTTTAGTTGCCTAAACAGGCCTTGAAGGTTCCCCATAACCACAGAAGCCAGACCAGATGCCATGCTCGATCCCCATAACCAGGCTTTCGCCCATGCTCGTCTCACCTCCTGGTGTTCCTCTCTGTCGAAGTCGGAGGTCCTGTAGCAACCCCTGGTCCGGACGCCCTAGCGCTCACCCATCTTCGACCTAGGCCTGCACACATGCCACAACTTCGTCATCTCTGCCTGCCTCTTCCGCATGCTTGTCTTCATCACCCTCAGATTCTTCAACCTCCACGCAGTGAACTCCCGGAGCGGTGATTGAGTTAAAAACTCACCTTCAAAAGAACATGGTGACTGTATCCGAGCTAACCAGCTAACCAAACAGGATCTATACAAGCTAGGCTTATTTAGGATAAGCAAACCAAACAACAACCTCTTTCATTGCAGGAGCCAAGTTTTAGCTAGCTAGCTAGGCTAGGTTTAAGACGAGAACCAACATACCCTAAACACAAAGCCCAGATATGGGTGGGTGGATGTTGCACTCAAAGGACGAAGTTAATAAGCGACCAGTCGCACAACAGCGTGTGGGGGCGGGGGCGGGGAATCTCCTAACTTGACAATTCAGATTCATAGCTAAGAGCCTCTTTAGCATGTCTCTAACTTCTTGTGTGACTCTTGTTTATGGAACCGTATTTAATGTCCACCTTACAATATTGCTACTAGAGCTGTTTTTATTGAATGTTTTTCAAAATGATTTTAGCTCTACTAGAGGAGTGAAGCTGTTTTAGAAGGAAGTCAGACCCATGACAAACGGTCTCTAAAGTGTTAATTATTTTAGGGCAGGAGAAGTATGTATTTTATTTTTATTTTTTTCAATAAGTGGGAGCTAAAGCTAAACAACTCCATTTATTCTAACCCTCTTTCTGCTGCACCCGGTATCCCTTCCCCTGTCTCTGCAGCAGAGCAGTTCCTTTCTTGCTGTCTTCTCTACTCAGTCCCCACTCCCCAGTCGCCACTCGGACCTCGGCGTCCCACCGAAGACGACCTCACGCGGGGGCGGGGCTTGGTATATTCCTTCTCCTCCCTGCTCGGTTTAGCACGGCCGCTTCCATCACGCATCCTCCCCTCCTCCCGTCTCAAGAGATCGCAGGGGGCAGCGTCGAAGCTGGAGGAAGCGGACGGGTTCGCCATGGGGTCCGAGGGATCCTCGGGTCCGGTTATCGGTGAGTAGCAGTCTCTGTCCGTCATTTCTCCCGAGGTGCCTAGTTGCATATGGTGTGTTTGTGTGTTCGTCGGTCTGCGAATTCGAGTGGAGAGTCGGGATCTCTGTGGCCAACAAGGCATGGTTGTTTGGATTCCCGATCGGATATGGGCGCCCTTCGAGTAAGGGAGGAGCCGAGGAGAGAGCTTTGTGGGAGTGGGCTCAGGGTCACCTGGGGCTGCTCGGGGAACCCGATCCGGCATTGCCTCTGATTGGAATTGACGCCACATCAAGATTGCCGTGCGCAACTTAGGTGCAGAATTACCGTTTGTACCGCCATGTAGTCAACAATCTCTTGGGCTAAAGATAGGTCTATCCGGAACTAGGATTGCCTTCGGATGGGATTGTAGACTTGTAGTGCCGAGGTGGAATCTCGGGGTAAATTTAGCATCTCCCCGTAGCTGTTGGTGAGGCCCAATTGATCCTTCCTTCAAATATAAATGGTAGTTATGTAGGTTTTGGTCGAGACTTGGAAGCTACTTGGAAGCTTGTTCCTTAATGGATATAAGCAAAGAAGAGTTAAGTTACTCGATTATTGGCGCGATTCTAGATGGATCGATTGGTTAGGGATTTGGCTGGACCACCTGAATCTGTTGCGCAGTCACACTCATCTCTTGTTGGGAATCATTGCTCTTGAAATAGTTTCGTAATCTGAGTTATTTCTGTAAAAGTTTCTGGATGGTCGAGTCATATATTGATTTGGGTACTAGTAATTAGTGTGGTAGTGAACTAGCATGTATGTACAGTGCCTGTTATCCTTATCCAGCAGGAATGCCCATTAATCCACAAGTGCAATCTGGTAATTGGAATCAAATTTCCATGTATATAGTAATCTAGTGTATAGATCCTTATGTGTAGCTACAGTAATGGTATTCAGAATTGAGTCAAGGTTAGCTATTTCTGACCACCATGCTTCAAATAACCAAAAGATAATTCTCCAAATTGTAAAGAAATGAAGCTGAAATTACTCCTAACAGTTTTTTAACATTTAAATAGGACCCATGCTTGCTCTTCTTGGCAGTGACGCCGATTCTAATATTAGTCTTTACCTACTTGTTAGTCCTATGCCTACCCTGGCCATCTTATCATTTTCCTTCATTTCATTTGACATTTTGTTAGCCATTCCTTGATGTAAATAGCATGAGTCCACAACTCACCTTGATCAACCAAATTTCCTGAAACCAGCAGTAGCATGCGCTGAGTCAATGTGTGGCCTTACTTACGTAGAAGAA